TGGGATATTTCTTAATATCAAAGGATCAGTGTTTGAGACTTTGGAATCTTGATATCACATGAGATTAATGTATGTTAATGTCACACCCCCAAACCAGACGGCGGAAACATCCGGGGTGGAGGACTTCATTTGTAGTATCACAACATATGTAATATAGTAATCAAAGTACAAACAACCATTGTACTAAAAAGTATAAATATTTACATGTGTTTCACATTGTATACTGAAACTAAATAGTTGTACAAAAGAAAAAGATAAGACATAAATAGCTCCATCTTCTCAAAATCTCGGGGTGTACCTGTCTATTGGTTCCCTGAGAATACAAGTAATTTGAAAAGAGAGTATGAACATAAAGTTGAGTGAGTGCATAAGTATTTATGTTTTGTAAGAATGTCTTCTGTTTCTTGAATATGTAAACTGTTTCCAGAAAATCTTATATTTTCTGTTGTATATGAAAAGTAATTGTATTTGTATAAAACTATTCTATTTATAAACTAGTGTTCTGTATTTGTAAACTTTATGTAAACTTGTATCTGAGAGTATGTCCGATTGCATCAACTGTACGGTAAACTGAAAATGTAATACTGTAAACTGTATCTTGTAAATTGTATCTTGTAAACCAGTACTTTGAAAATTTACTTAAGTTTAGTTAATTATACACTCACGTATTGTTAATATCTTTTAATGAGTTATTATATCCATACTAACTAGATGCCTTGATCCAACGCTATGAATGCACTGAAAGTTGATGATAACAATTGTCACTCACAGGCGTGTATGCCTGACTGTAGCTAGTAGTCTAAGTGCGGGATTGTTAATCCCAATATAGATCTATACACCCATTGTTTCGATCCCCTGCTGGAGACTCTGGTTATAATATCAGGACTTTAATATATGGTTTAATATGAATTAAACAAACTGTACTATTTATCTCATAAAAGCATATAACGTTACATGTATAACAGTTATGAAAACCCAATCATTTTGAAGTAAATGATTGATAGTATGTTCTTGAATTAGTACTCTTAACATGTAAATTGAATAAATGTATACTCTTGGACAGTTTTGAATTAAACCTTTGTTTTTGTAAAACCATGTACACTAGTATACTTGAATCGTGAATTAATGTTTTGTGAATCATAAATTATACCTATTATAATTTATATGTACTTTCTGATTTGATAACGAGTATTCATGAATGGGATCCTTTGCTCAACGTGTTACAAAGGGGAATTGAATCTAAGTTAATAAACTTTTATACTTGTATACATATACAATTATATATAACTAAAATTTAAATGACACTTGGACAAACAACGGATACTTGTAATCCCACATCCAAACAAGGAAAAGGAACCAAAGTGGGTTGTCAGTCCTAAATCTTTTAAATCTTATTTATATAAATATATGTATACTAGTACGGTTTTTGGGGAAAAATATAAGTTTATTAAACATTTAGAAGAAGTTTTATATTTTGAAATCCATTTTAGTGACTTGATGTCTTTTTGAAATAATCACTTAAAACCACCTGATTTGATAAGATGTTTGAAACCATTTGTTTTGATAACTGTAATCCATTTGAAATCATGTATTATAACACACAAAATCTTTGTGTTAGACTTGTATTACCCCCTTAAAACAGTAAAAACTATGAAAATACGGGGGTATGAACTCACCTGCGGTAAGTTACTCAAACGTATGATTGGTGAAGGATATTAAGTGTCAAGTGTAGTCTTGAACACAATGGATCCTAATGAGCATATATTGGCACATATATGAATATAATTAGTCTTTATACCACTAATCATGAATGGAAAACACCATAGGACTTAGAAAACACTTAGATTTAAATGTTAGAAGCATCAAAAGTCGACTGAAATGGGTGTATGGTCGTACAGGGATGTGTGTGGCCACCAGGTGTGCTGCCCTTTGGGTGTGCGGCCCTGTGTGTGCGGCCATGGAGTGTGCGGTCGCACACACCTAGGGAAAATGGTCAAAAACGATTTTCTATGTTCATATCTTGTATCCCCCAAGAATCTTTGATCATATGGTAGCTTACAATTGGAGTTTAAGGCCCTTATGCACTAAAGAAAGGGGTGTACGGCCACATGAATGTGCACACTCCATGAAGATTTAGTTTTGGACATTTTCTAAGGCTCAAAAATAGTTAATAACATGCAGGAGTAGAGTACTTACTATATAGAAGCGTATAGGGGTGTTTGGAGCTCAAGAACTTAGTAAGTGTTCTTGGTGTTCTTGGTGCAACTGAAGAACACTTGAAGATCTATCAAGATGGAGTGATTTCATGGATGAAATCAGTGATCTAATCTAGATGGAGTAAGGAATCAACAGTTGATAGGATAAAACACTTACCAATTGAAGATCTAGCTGCAAATTTGGATGCCGCTTGAGAGAAAATGAGTTCTAGTCTAGAAGAGTGAAAAGGATTGAATGAAGGCCATGTACACACTATATGGCCGTGAGTGTGCTGCCAAAAGAGGGGTGTGCGGCCGCACACCCATGTGTACGGCCGTACACTCCTTATGATGGCGTGTTTGGCCTTACTTTGTGTCGGGTGAACTCGCGGAACCCAATTCTAAACTCTAACTTGAAGAAACTAGGTTTAGAACACTCAACTTTACTCAAAACAATGCTAAAAGGTAGCAGAAATGAGTCTAACTTTGTTTAATTTGTAAAATAGTAATAGTCAAAAATTTTGGGTCGTCACAGTTAAGTTGGAATTCCATAACATCTTGGATAATGATAAGAATTTGGAATTGTGAAATGAACATCATTGGAATAATGTCCAATTGATCTCTTCACAAACAAAGGACCATAGAGAGGCATAGCATGCATGTTCATAAGATGGCATGACTGATGTTTGATTCAAGTGGTTAGCTGATTACTTGAAACGATATACAATGAATAAAGTTCTAATTATTTTGGTGATTAAATAATAGAGATTATGTATATTAAATAGTTTTGAGACAATAGTTAATTAGTTTATTATTGTGTTTCACTTTGCATGTTTTACTTCCTAAATGATTTGATTAGTCTACTTCTGGAAGAAAGTACTGAATTAAGACTATCATGAATTGAATTGTAGATTGTCTATGGAGATTAGACATTGCAACGGATGCTACAATATTCATGAGTACTTAGAAAATGGGGATTTTGGGTATTGGATAAACCCACGCTCAAAGAATTACTTCATGGATTATATCATGATTAATTGTGAGACGATAATATCTTATATTCTTGAAATGGAGATATATGAGTTGTAGTTTACAAGTCGGTTGTGTGTTGGTGTTATGAAAACGCATCATTTATGTGATGTTATAAAACGTAGCGTTATGCATGATTTGATGACTAAAATATACAAACATATAAGTCGAACTTTATTCGTTACTCTTTACCTAACGGGAAAAGCGATATCTTTGGGCTCCTCGATGATTTGTTGTCGGCATCTAAAGTGCTTGGTCGAGCCCGGACTGAATTGATGTGTTCAATTAGTAGTTTGAATTTAGTCGTCATAAATCAGGAAATCGAGAAACAGAATCTTGGACTATGAGATTGATTCTAATCCATGTCTCATGTCTATACGATATATTGTAGAATGAAGGAATATTTGATCACTTATCTAAGGAGCAATATCTGGTCGGATCAGAGTTCGACAATTGCTTTGGGAAGCACACTTTGCTGTTTGATTTTGATGTTATACATGTAATTTAGTTTTAGACTTACCCAAGTGGAAGACTGTTTGATTAGGTGTCTAAGCCAATAACTAAATTAATATAATCTTGAATTATTAGCAGAATCCTTTTAGGTTTCCCTCAAACCGAGTAATTTACTAGAATGGTTTTTAGAAAGAGAGACTGATTTATTAATTTATTATATGATTAATAAATTAATTAGAAGTCAAAAAACTAATTTATTAATATATTATGAGAATAATATATTAATTATAAATAGTATTGTTTAATTAATAATTAATCAGAAATTAATTGGAATTAATTTTGGGATTAACTGGATTAATTAAAAGTAGACATACTAAAGGTGACAATGTTCAAAAGTTGAACATTGACCAATTCTAGAACTTCCTAAGAGGGGGACGGTTCTAGAGGGGGTTTCTAGAGGTATTCTTGGGTTCTAAGGAAGCTTGGAATTCCTTAGGGAGGAAGGAATGTGGAAAGGGTTATCTAAATGGAACCTGACTTACATACAACCTTCCTAACATCTATATAAACCCCTAAGGGGTTATTGTTTTTGTCACTTGCTTTTAAGAGAGCAATAGGACCAAAATTCTTCATTATTCTCCTCTCTCCTCTTTAGCTTCTAGTTGCTAGGGTTTGATGTGAGCCATTAGAGGCACGAGACTTCTGGTGCTTGCTTTCTAAAGACCAATCAAGAAGGAATACTAGTTTAACACTACTAGAAAACAACCCTTTAATGACGTGCAAACAATGACACTCGCTAAAAGAGGACGCGCATTTGTGCGTGCCCTAAAAAATATTGTCGATTTTTCAAAATTTGAAGGATAGAGGACACGCATTTGTGCGTGCCCTAAAATTAGTGTCAGAAAAAGAAAAAAAGGAAATGCGGAGGGCACCTTTCATAAAATGTGTGTCCTCTAAGTGTGTCGCTTTATAATTTTTTAATGAAACACGTGTTTTTTAAGGCGGGATTTCACCCGCCTGTTGGATCCCAAAAATCAACCCCCCCTCTTCCAATTACCAAGAAAAGCCCTATGGCCTTCGTCTTCATAGCAGCATCGCACCACCACCCAACCTCCGATCTCGCACCGCCAAGTGTCTCCGACCGTCTTCTCCAACCATTCTTTCCTGTCGCACTACACCGATAACAAAACCCCCCATCATGATATGCTAATGTTTGTATTTCTGTCAATTGAGATCAAATCATTCATGTCACGGGTGCTCATGCTTCACGTTCGTATGATAAAACCCTAACCGTAAAAACCATCATTCTCTAGGTCGAGAGCAATGATTCCATCAAGAATGTCAAATTCCAGGTTCCTCTTTCTCCTCTATTCTTACCTCTAATTTTGATTTTGAAACTTCTCATCTTCTCCTCTATAAAACCCTAACCGGAAAAATCATATGAGTTTCAATTGTGATTTCCTCCTCTATACTCGATCCCTACTTCTACTCTCTACGCATCTCAAGTAGGATCCATTCTTTCTCCCTTTTTTCTCCTTCTTTTTCTTTGTTTTCTTAGGTACGACATCATTCTCCCTTACTTTTCTACTTGTGCATCCCATTCTGATACTTTTCTACTTGATACAATCATCGGCGATTCAAAACCATCAAACGCTTCAGCATCTATCGTATTCGGGGAATTCATCCCAATCCATTAACCCCTTTCATTTTTCATTAAAAACACCCTAATTGACTTGGCAAGTTCATGAACCAGATGTAGCACATCCCAAACTGGGGATTTAACCAAACCCGATAGAGCCATTGACGAAATCTTTGGATTCGGTCAACAAGGTCTCTCTGTAATCGCGCAACTTTCTTCACAAGGGATCGCTCCAGATGCTTTCTCTCATTGTCTCGTCGGAAACGGTGGTGGTGGTGGGATTCTTGTTCTAGGTCAGATAATCGAGCCAACCATGGTGTATACTCCATTAATCCAGTCACAGTAAGTTCTCTTTCGCTTATCTCTTATCATAAAACATTAACAATGCTTCGATGATTTTAAGACCCCAATACTATCTTCTTCAACAGAACTCGGTGGTATAGGTACTGCTGTTTCCATTTATACCCTGGTCCCTGGAAATTCTATTTTGTATATTTACTTCTCCTTTTGATTTCAGGATCTTCTGATTTTGGCTTGCAGTCATGCTGTTTCCATTTATACCCTTGTCCCTAGGGAGTATCCCTATATTCTTATACTCATTTCTCATCTTCTATATTTATAATTTTCTTAACTTTTCTATCTTTCTGCAGTTATATTTAGTCGATTGGATCCAGGAGAAAAACTCGTTATAGGTTGTCAAAAAGCAACAATTTTTGCTGAAACACATGTATTATTCTTTTTAACACACACATATATATACATACATACATTTATGCTTTTTGATAATATTATTCTTGAGCAGATTAGATGTATAATTACAGCTGATGAGGTGTTTCTTATGACAACCAATTTGAAATCAAGTTCCAAAGTATGTTGTCACTGTTTCTTGTAAATTATAGCTTTATGAAATCAAACGGCACATGACATATATGATATATAAGTCTATAAGTCATGTTTACCTAGATTACCACTTTTTTGAGCATCAGGTGAACACTATAAGTCTATAACTCATGTTTTAAGTTCCACTCACGGGGGTATAACTGTCTTTTTTGTCATTGTAGATTCATTGGTTTTCCATATTCAATTCATTCATGATGGTTATCTTCCTGACTGGATTGGTTTCCATGATTCTGATGCGGACTCTTGAAATGACTATGCAAAGTATGCTCGGGAAGATGATGATCTAGAGAGTCTGGTAATAATGAATTTGGGAAGTTATTGCAATAAAGTTATATACGGGCTATTGAAGTGTTTAGTTTTCAGGAAAGAGATGTAAGTGAGGAATCTGGTTGGAAGCTTGTGCATGGAGATGTTTTCAGGCCACCTCGCAATTAGGTTTTGTTGTCAGCAGTTGTTGGAACTGGTGCTCAATTGGCAGTATTGATTCTTCTTGTTATCTTGTTTGCAATTGTTGCAACATTATATATTCGGTACATTATTCTTATGCATCACATGATATGACATAACAGGTTATGATGTATTTCACTTTGAACTGGGATTGATGTCTTAATGGGACAAAAATTGAAATTGGTTGCCCCTTTTGGAACACTCTTGATTCCTTGTTTATGCAAAAGACATGAATACCCTCTTCATCATCACAGTTGAAAATGGCCCTACAAAGCTTGTAATCAGATTTCCACACTTGAATTCATTTATTTCAGAAAGTGTTAAATGATAGAAATAGCAACAAACTTTCATTTATGTCTATTATGACATTGTACTATGAAATTCTATCCAATTATAGGTCATTCAAATACATAACCTTTTTCCCTTATACAAATGGATAGATAAATTTCTCAAAAAAGAAAAAATTTAAAGCACAATGCTATAACTGTTTAGATCTTTTAAAGTATAATGCTTAATAAGAGCAAAATGTTACAAGCACTTTCACTCGTACTATTACAGCATTGTGTTGTTTTAAAAATCTAGCCGATTATAGCAATATCATTTTTATTCAAAGTAATTTTCACTACTATAATCGGATAGATCTTTCAAAGAATAATAATGTCGGCCATAACAAGAAAAAAAGAAATCGAACTTCAATGCTATAACTGGATAGATATTTCAAAGTACAAGGCCTTAATAAGAAAAGAAATATAAGTGCAATTCTGTAATAGAAACAAACAGAAGTAAAATGTTGCACTACACAGATAAATGAAAGTACAATGCTATTACTTGTTTTTTTCCATTTCAGAAAACAAAGACCTGCTTGCCTTAATCCTGATAAAGTGTGGTGATGATGATGAAAATTGTCATGTTGTAAGTGTAAATTTTGTTTTTTTGTTATCAGGAGAGGAGCAATTGTGACAACATTTATAGTTTGTTATGCTCTCAAACCAGCTTCTACTTTAGATACACGGCCATTAACTGTCTCGGTTTAGGAATCCTCTGTGGTGAGTAGTTAAAACTTATAACTTACGACTTGATGTATTTATCTATCAAGTGTTACTGAATATTGGTTGATGATATTTGCAGGAGTCGTTGGGTATTTGGGGTCGAATCTGTTTGTGAGACGGGTCTACCGAAATATCAAGTGCGATTGATTGATTGATGGAAGGAAAGATTCCCCGGTTTTGTAGTTTAATGTGTGGATACCAAATCAAGGGTCTAAATGGGGATTGATTATATATATATAAGCTATGCTTTGAGGAGAATTAGTTTTCATGGGAAGGAAAGGAATGTAGAAAAATGCAATGCTATTGTTTTCTTATTATCAACAGAATGGGGATGGGGGTGGGGGTGGGGGTAGCATGGTTGAGTTGAAGATTGTTGAACAAGTTGTTGTATACATGTTCTATTATATTCTTCTTATTCATAGGCGATTTCAAAAAGTAAACGCTATTAACTCTGTTTTTATTTTTATTTCTTTTATGATCATCGGTTATAAGCCTCAAAATTAGACATTATCTTCCTTGTTTTAGGGATATTTATGTGATTTTATCTTTATTTTTTATTTTCACTTGATGGCTCTGTGGTTCAGTATAAGTCTGAATTATCTAATGACTTCTGTTATGAAACAGAAAGAAGAGAAGACCTTGAGAGTAAGATAAGCATGACAGATTATCTAATGACTTCTGTTATAAAACAGAAATAAATGATGGTTGACAACTTCAATAGAGGTATTAAATTTCTTAATTTTCCTCAGTTTGACTGCAGTATCTACTTTTCTATATGTCTTTCTGTGATAGCAAATTCCTAACTATATTGTTCATTAGATGTCAAAATGGTGCAAGAGAAAGAGAATGTGCAGCTTAAAAGGATTAACACTGAGTATGAAAAAATCAAATTACAGCTGGAAGACCATGAAAAGAAACTGAGAGCACGTGAAGTGATAAACGACTGTGAGAATAAAAAGCTTGACACTGAGAAGAAAATGGTACTAAGATACTATGTTGGCAATTTTGGAGCAGAAGAAGTTAAATGATAGAATGTTGAAGTTGGCCGGGAATCACAAGGTTTGTTAGCAGCTTTTTATTTTCCTTTTTTCGGATGAGCATATGTTTGGATAATGTTTCAGGTTTATTTTAGTAAATAATTTATGAATACTTGTACAGAAAAAAAAAGAGAAACTTCACCAGAAGATTATTGATCTTCAAAAGAAGCTTGATGATAAGCAACGATTGGAGCTAGAGATCAAACAGATGAAAGGAGCCATGGAAGTAATGAAGCACATGACTCATGAAGATGTTGAAGCAAAGAAGAATTTTGAGTCGATAAAAGATCTGAAAGAAAAAGAAGAGGAACTTGAGGATTTGGAAGAGCTTAATCAATCATTGGTAATTAAAGAAAGACTAATCAATGATGAGTTACAGGATGCTCGCAAAGAGTTGATTTCTGTGAGCTTCTTTTCTTCCAAGTTTATAATCAATCATGTTTATTGATTTATAACAAAATAATGTAATTTACCTTTTTGTTATCCCACCTGATGTTTGGTTTGTGTGAAACAGGATTTGAAGGAAATATGTGGTTCTGGTAGGGCCCATATTGGTGTGAAAAGAATGGGGGATCTTGATGCAAAGCCTTTCATAGTTGATGCTCAGAAACGTTGTTTAAGTCGAGAGGATACAATCAAGTTTCTATCAATATGGGAGGATCATCTCAGGGATCTAAGCTGGCACCCATTTAAGATCATCACCATTGGAGATGATTACAACGTATGTATGAAGAACTTAATTAACATGTATATAAAACACCATTTAATTTATTTTTTGAACGTGTTTGTAGATTCAAAGGCCACCTTCTTGCATTGATTCAACGTGTGCAAAAGGTACAAATTTATTAGACCAATTTACATTTTAGGAAATGTATACAGACAATTCTGTTGTGTTCCACACGGGTTATGGCTACAATTCCCAAATGCCATATGGTCCATATTCTCCAGTGACCACAGTTCTCCCTTCTGTTAATGGTGATGCACAGCTATATCTACATCCAGCTCAGCAATATACATTCTTTGGATCACCATATTATCAGATTATCCCTTGAATAGCTGATTGCAGCATCCTGAGAATTATTAGGACAAAAGAACATCTCATTTAGATCATTTATACCTTCCATTTATCAAATGATAGCAAATAAATACCTGTTCTTTAATAATATCAGGTTGCACCAGTTTATCCTCTGCATTCATTACCAAGGACTCAGTAATAGAAGAGTCTTGAGATACCAAGAATTACAAAGGATTGTTCATAAAAGGTTAGTGTGTTGAATATAAATTTCAACAAATGAAACATTTTAATTAAGACATGGTATGTTGAATACTCAATATAATTAGTACTGAAAATTACATTGTATTTGAATAACATTGATCATTGCAAGGGACTTTTTTTCTTGTGTTTAACCCAACTTTCAATATCAAACACAGTAATAAAAACCCCACAGTTTCACTATATGTACAGAGTTTATATTATATATAAAACCATAACCGTTAGAAAAAAATAACATGTTTCATTGTCTTTCAGGCATCGGGTAGTGGATGTGCATGGTCTTCACAACCTGTTTTCCAGAGATGCTTAGACATTATCCATACTCAACAGCTGGCCAAGGTTGTAGATATAAAATTTTATTGTTTTATGAATAACTCATGCCATATACAGTTTCCGGTTTATATGCCATTTGTGATGCCATGTCATCTTTGAAACTCGGCTTCTGATTAATTTGGTGTATTATTTTGGCAGGTTGATCCTGCTACATGGCCAATAATGATCTCTAGCGTCTTCTAGAAGGATTGGAGATTGCAGTTAAGCGTCTATCTAAGACTTCACCCCAAGGACTTGATGAATTTAAGCTAGAAATGTTTTACTTGATTTGGACATGAACCCTAAGATATAATACTTTGGCATGGCTAGAAGCTTTGGAGGAAACGCGACTCAAGCAAAAGCAAATACACATAGAGTTGTTGGCACAAAGTAAGCTAGATAATGCAACTGTATATAAATTTTGCTTCTCTTGAGTCCATTCTTGTCATTACATTTACTCACTATTGGAATAATTATTTGTATTTGACATATTAGTGAAATAAATTATCTTTGTTATTTATGGTATTTTATTTTGTATTATGAGATTTTTAATGTGTTATTTAATTTGAAAATTACTAAATCTATCAAAATATATAACTTTTAAAACATTTAACTTTATGGCACGCAAAAATGTGTGTCGTCTTTCTTTATGACAGGGGCTTTAATGATACGCGATGCGAGTCGTAAATGCGCGTCGTAAGGTTACGACACGCAAATGCCTGTCATCTTCTTTTATGACATGGCCTTCCTTGACACGCATTGCATGTCGTAAACACGTGTTGTAAATGCGTGTCATAATTGCGCGTCGTAAATAGACGACGCGCAAAAGCGTGTCGTCTCTCGTTATGACAGGGCCTTCCTTGACACGCATTTTCGCGTCGTGAAAGAACCCCTTTCTAAACTTTTGTATTTCTAAAAGACCCAAACTTTCATACTTCACAATATTGTTACTCCAAAAACATGCTACATGCATATTCATATATAATATTTTACTTTGATAATTTGATTACAAAGGACTGGATACAAACCGACTCAGTTTTAATATTTTACATAACTAACCAGGATATTGTAATTTTATACAAACATAAACTGAAGTACAAAAGTACTATTACAAACTATTCTAAATCTTCCAACAGTATACTATCATACTGCTTATTTATCTCCTGCAATTGTTAAACATAGAGAAGGGTAAGCGTTGACGCTTAGTGAGTTCAATAATAGATACAATAGAACGTTATGCCATATATACACTTCAATATGGCAGAAGCAAAGAGGAACAAGGAACAACAAAGGCATATGTGAATAATGCAAAAAGCTTTCCATATCAATCAATGAGACATAACAATTTCCATACTTGATATACAATCAATAAAGTTTCAGCACAAGTGGTACAGAAAATACTCAGGAATATCATTTTGCTAGAATATTCAGGCTTTCAGCCTTATCTTAGCATACTGACGAAGCCAAAGTGATGCATATGTCATACACTTCATGGTCAACGGTACATACCAATACCCAAGTGATGCCTATGTCATACACTTCGTGGTCAGAGGTATAGCGTTGCTATAAAAATAGCAGAAATAATAACATGAGATGATAACATGGAAAAGCACATAGCACATATAACACATAACATACAATTGTTCCTATATATTAAACTCACCTTGAAATAACCGGGGGTCAAAATAATAATTTGTGCAGCATTTCGGCTCTAAATATGACTTTATTCGTTGAAAACCGGGAGATTTATTGAAAACCGGGCTCTGCGAAGGTAGAGATTCAAAACCGAAAAGATAAATTTTTCGGGCTTCTCGGGAACTTCGGGGCATGTTTCGGGCGTTGGAAATAATCCTGGGGCTTCGGGGGAAGTCAAAATAATAAAAAATATTGAAAAATGGGTGAAAAATGGCAATTTTTAAACTCTACCGGGAGATCTCGCAGGTCTTGTATTTATAGGGGAGGCTTCGGATCCGGAGCAATGAGAAGCGAGCACGTGGCTCGCATGCGAGGAGGCAGCTGGCGTCGGACAGGTGGATTCTACACGCGTCAGACTTGCGAGGCGAGGTGGCATCGGACGGAGATTGCACACGCGTCACGCTTCGGACGCGCCACGAGTCGGACACGCGGATGGATTCGGTTGGACCTCCCCTTCGGATGACTCATCAGATCGGACACGGGTCAGCCTCGCATGCGAGGCGACGTGGCCAAACCCCAGCCATACGGGCTCCGTTTTTGACATTCGTTATATGCACGCGTAGGTAAAATCATGCTCTACAACTTTTGTTTAGACTTCGTTGGCTAATTTTGACTTTATTTTTAATATTATTATTTTTAACATACTGGGACAGGAAAATCTGTTAAAAATTCATAACTTTTTCATCCGATGTCCGTTTTCGACAGGCTTTTTGTTGTTGTACTACTATTGACGAGATCTTCAATTCTCGTTTAGGTTGTGTCGGCTAAAAATCACTCGATCTAAAATTCGAGTTTTTAGCTGTCTACTGCTAAGCTGAAACTTAGAAAAATCATAACTTCCTCATACGAAGTCAGATTTTGGAGTTTTTTTATCGAACTTCTCGATTTAACGAATACTACGACTTTCATTTAGATCACTAAGGCTAAAAAGTAGTTTATCAAAAACTCACTTTTTACGTCATTCGGCGCCGTGCCGGTTTTGTCGCGGATCTTCGATTGGTCATAACTTCTTCGTTATAACTCGGATTTCGACGAGGTTTTCGCCTACATGTTTCTAACGAGATTATCTACAACTTTCAATAATAAAATTTTACTTATTTCAAATTTTATATTTTCGCTAAATTTCACTATTTGGCTTTTAATTGGAATCTCATAAGACTTCCAATATTTTTTTTGAGTGATTCTAAACATAGTTTTACTTCAATTCTAGTAAGAACTTCCGTTAGAACTCAACACTCAATTTCACATAATATTTCATAATATTATTCTCTTTTATAATTTACAATACACGATTTTAAAACGTGTATGTTACAAATACCTCCTCCTTTTGAGGATTTCGTCCACGAAATCACAACGATTAAAACAAATGGGGATACTTTGCTCTTATTTCATTCTTATTCTCCCAAGTATAATTTGGGCCTCGTTGGTGCTTCCACTTGAAAAGCACCAACTCCACTTCTTTATTACGTAGATTAGTCGTTCATTCGTTTACGATCTTTTTAGGTTTTTCTACATATCTTAACTTATTATCCAATTTCTCTTAGGATAACGGAATTGTTTCATCATATACGCTCAAGCATTTGCACAGATAACTCACATGAAATACATCATGAATACCTGTCAAATCTTCAAGCAATTTCAAGCGGTATGCTTGTTTACCAATCCACTGGATGATTTTGAAAAGACCAACAAATCTAGGACTTAGTTTTCCGTTCTTTCTCAAATTTCATAATACCTTTCCACGGGGTTACCTTCAGTATCACCCTCTTGGAATTCTATGGGTCGTCTTCTCTTTTCTGTATAGGACTTCTGTCGATACTGGGCCGCTTTCATTCTTTCTCGTACAATTTGAATCTTGTCGGTGGTGTCTTGAATTATTTCAGGGTCTCCAAGGATCTTTTGTCCTATGTCTCGCCAACATAATGGCGTACGGCATTTACGACCATATAATGCTTCATATGGTGGCATTTTGATTGAAGCGTGGTAACTGTTATTATACGAAAATTCGACAAGAGGTAAGTACTTATCCCAGTTACCACCGAACTCCAAGACACATGCACGAAGCATATCTTTTACTGTTTGATCGTTCTCTCCGTTTGACTATCTGTCCGGGGATGATAAGCTGTGCTGAGAGCAACTCGAGATCTCAATTCATGTTGCATACTCGCCCAAAAATGAGAAGTGAAGCGAGTATCACGATCGGAAATAATCTTTAGTGGCACATCATGTCTCGCGATGATTTCGTCTAAGTAAACTTGTGCGTATTTCTCCATTGGAGCCATTTCACGTATGGCGAGAAAATATGCACTCTTAGTTAGCCGGTCGACAATTATCCAAATTTTATAATTCTATATAGCAGTCTTTGGCAATTGGAGCAGCATTAGGTATAAGATCAATTCGGAATTCTACTTGCCTATCCGGGGGTAGTTCTGGCAATTTGTCGTGGAAAACATCAGGGTATTCATTAATGACGGGATTATAGATTACAGTTTGTTCCCCTCTTTTGAGATATCAACTGTATAAGCTGGATAAGTAGAATATCCCTTCGATATAAATTTACGAGTTTTTAAGAAAGAAATTATTATTTTCACCATAGACACAAATAGAATCTTCCCTTTCAATAGGGATGAGTACTATCTTTTCGTAGCACAAGAATTTTGCGCGGTTCTTTGACAACCGATCCATGCCAAGAATAATATCAAAGTTGGGCAAGGAGATAGGAATTAGGTTAGCAAGAAGATTATAACCTTCAATTCCTATGACACTATCTCT